TTTTAGGCCCCATTTACACGGGACACTTTTGAACAATGGAAACTGACTGCTGGAAAACGTAGGTTAAAAAAAATCTGTTTTGCCACGTTTGCATAGCGCATTTATGTGCGTTTGCGTTTAGAAGCGTTTTTTAAAGATAAGCAGAGGAGAACCTCCCAAATGCCCAGAATGCACTGAAAAGTGGTAAATTATTAACTATTTGAGATTGTTTCAGAGAAAGACAGAGAGTAGAAGCAGAGAGAGAAGTGTTGAGATTAGCTTAGGTGTGAGTTGCTCATTAATATTTCTTTTGTTTCCAAGGGTGGGACAGGTGTCTGGTGGAGTGAGTCATTAAAGGCACCTGGCAGGGGGTCTTCATGAGGAATTTGAGGTGTGAATATTCATTAACATATCTTTTGTTTCCAAGGGTGGGAGAGGTCTGAGGTGTGAATTGGTCATTTCAATGTGTGACAAGCTTGGTGGAACATCCTGTGTTCAGTGTTTTGTCCATTTGAGTACCTTGAAAACGCTTTTGCATGCATTTTTCATGATGAAAAAAGGCTCTGGACAGCATCGGGAACTGGAAGAGTTAAAAAAAATTCAAACACATACGCTTATAAACACGATTTGCCGCATTTAGCCGCGTTTTGCATTTGAAACGCTGATAAAATCGACTGCTGAACACAAATTTACTGCGTTAAAAAATACAACTGTAAACTCAAATTCCTGTAAACGACTGTAAACGAAGATGTGTACATGGACGCATAGGAAAACATTAGGGTGAGTTCTGGGGCTGCTGAAAAAAACGCTGAACAGCTCCTAAACGTGAGTTTATCAGCTGCAGTGTACATGAGCCCTTAATGTTTTTTCTCAATATCCTTGTGTAGACAAAATAAGCAGCAAAGTGATGGCAATGGGATGGGGGTTTGGGACAATTCATAACACTGCAGAAGGTGCTTACTTTTTTGGTATGGGATGTAAACATTAAAACATTTAACATTAGATAAAGGTTTCATGAAGCTGGGTAAATTTCCACTCCCTGACATTAAGGACTATGATCTCTTTACAATCAGCCACACCATCTGTGATGAACCTCTCCTTCTCTTGCCGCCTCCGTTCCACACCATTCAAACAAAATACTGAAGATAGTGCTTTCTCCTTAAAAAAAACTGTATTCTCTTCCACAAACAGATAGAATGCCACTCACATGTGACAAAATGTGTTGGTTCGGGGCCTGGAAGACTTCAGGACGCTCACCTGTGATTACAGGAAGGAAAATCATTGTATTTATGGCCAGCTTAGCATAAGCACACTAGTAATTATAACAGGTATCATTCAGGGCATGCCTTCAATGTTACTGTTTTGAGATTACAATTACAGTTGTGACCAAAAATTATTCAACCCCCACTGAAATTGAGTGTTTTGGCCAGTTTGACATTGCTTTTGATCATTCAGTCATCTTGCTTACATTTACATTAAAGAGGCACTTGTAGGTCAGACAAATATAACATAACAGTTATAATGAAATAACCACAAATGTCTTTTCTGTGCTCACAGCATTATCAGTTTTATTCAACCCCCAAGTGACATTCAATCTTAGTAGTACTTAGTAACAGCATCCTTTTACAGTTATAACAGCTTTTTAAACGTGAAGCATAGCTTGACACAAGTGTCTTGCAGCGATCTAACGGGTATCTTCGCCCATTCTTCATGGGCAAAGGCCTCCAGTTCAGTCACATTCTTAGGCTTGCGCACTGCAACTGCTTTCTTTAAGTCCCACCAGAGGTTCTCAATCGGATTTAAGTCTGGTGACTGCGATGGCCACTCCAAAATGTTCCAGCCTTTCCTCTGCAACCATGCTCTAGTGGACTTGGAGGTATGCTTGGGATCATTGTCCTGTTGAAAGGTCCAACGTCTCCCAAGCCTCAGGTGTGTGACGGACTGCATCACGTTTTCCAATATCTCCTGGTACTGAAGAGAATTCATGGTACCTTGCACACGCTGAAGCTTCCCTGTACCTGCAGAAGCAAAACAGCCCCAAAGCATGATTGACCCTCCACCATGCTTCACAGTAGGCAAGGTGTTCTTTTCATCATAGGCCTTGTTCTTCCTCCTCCAAACATCGTTGATCCATGGGCCCAAACAGTTCTAATTTTGTTTCATCAGTCCACAGAACACTATCCCACAACTTTTGTGGTTTGTCCACATGGCTTTTGGCATACTGCAGTCGACTCTTCTTATTCTTTGGAGACAGCAAGGGGGTACGCCTGGGAGTTCTGGCACGGAGGCCTTCATTACGCAGTGTGCGTCTTATTGTCTGGGCTGAAACTTCTGTACCCACATCTGACAAATCTTTTCTCAGTTCCTCAGCAGTCACACGGGGACTTCTCTCCACTTTACGCTTCAGGTAACAGCATCGAAGTCAGCATCTTCTTTCTGCCACACCAGGTAGCGTTTCAACAGTGCCCTTTGCCTTGAATTTGCGAATGATGCTTCCTAAGGTGTCTCTTGTATGTTTAACATCTTTGCAATCTTCTTATAGCCATTGCCCTTCCTGTGAAGAGAAATCACCTCTTCTCTTGTCTTCCTGGACCATTCTCTTGCCTTCACCATGTTTGTAACCACACCAGTAAATGTCTAGAAGGAGCTGAGTATCACAGTCATTTTAAAGCTGCCTAATTGGTGCTTATTATGCTTGATACAGGTGTTTTCAATACCTGATGGAAAGCACCTGTATGAACCTCTGTTCTTCAGAGTGGTAGTCTTTAAGGGGTTGAATAATTGTGGCAATGAAGAAACCACATAAGAACCATTTACTACTGTATTACATAAACAATTGATGTCATTTTAGTTGCATTTGGGTAGTTACAACGTCCTTGTAGGATTTGATTCTGAATACAATTCCAAATGTACACTATAGTCCCTAAACCCCTTTACAGCATTGGGGGTTGAATAATTTTGGTCACAACTGTAAGTTGGTTTGTTCAGCTTTATTTCGCCATTAGACATATACAGTACTAGATATACTTTACCTCTCTATTGCTCTATAAATTAATACTTGTTCATCCTTTAGATTGTAAACTCCATGGATATATATATCCTGTATGTTGAAATACTTTTTTATATATTACAAAATATATGAAAAATATTTTTCAAAATACAGGTATATCTTTTTTAAATATATTCTTCAGATTTTTTTTCACATAAAAAAAGTAATTTTAACATTTATTTTTACATACAGTATCTCACAGAATTGAGTACATCCCTCACATTTTTGTAAATATTTTATTCTATCTTTTCATGTGATAACACTGAAGAAATGACACTTTGCTACAATGTAAAGTAGTGAGTGCACAGCTTGTATAACAGTGTAAATTTGCTGTCCCCTCAAAATAACTCAACACACAGCCATTAGTGTCTAAACTGCTGGCAACAAAAGTACACCCTAAGTGAAAATGTCTAAATTGGGCCCAATTAGCCATTTTCCCTCCCCGGTGTCATGTGACTTGTTAGTGTTACAAGGTCTCAGCTGTGATTGGGGAGCATGTGTGTTAAATTTGGTGTTATCGCTCTCACTCTCTCATACTGGTCACTGGAAGTTCAGCATGGAACCTCATGGCAAAGAACTCTCTGAGGATCTGAAAAAAAGAATTGTTGCTCTACATAAAGATGGCCTAGGCTAAAAGAAGATTGCCAAGACCCTGAAACTGAGCTGCAGCACAGTGCCCAAGACCATACAGCAGTTTAACAGGACAGGTTCCACTCAGAACAGGCCTCGCCATGGTCGACCAAAGAAGTTGAGTGCACGTGCTCAGCATTATATCCAGAAGTTGTCTTTGGGAAATAGACGTATGAGTGCTGCCAGCATTGCTGCAGAGGTTGAAGGGGTCAGCCTGTCAGTGCTCAGACCATACACCGCACACTGCATCAAATTGGTCTGCATGGCTGTCGTCCCAGAAGGAAGCCTCTTGTAAAGATGATGCACAAGAAATCCCGCAGTTTGCTGAAGACAAGCAGAGTAAGGACATGGATTACTGGAACCATGCCCCGTGGTCTGATGAGACCAAGATGAACTTATTTGGTTCAGATGGTGTCAAGCATGTATGGCGGCAACCAGGTGAGGAGTACAAAGACAAGTGTGTCTTGCCTACAGTCAAGCATGGTGGTGGGAGTGTCATGGTCTGGAGCTGCATGAGTTCTGCCGGCACTGGGGAGCTACAGTTCATTGAGGGAACCATGTATGCCAACACTACTGTGACATACTGAAGGAGAGCATGTTTCCCTCCCTTTGGAGACTGGGCCACAGGGCAGTATTCCAACATGATAACGACCCCAAACACACCTCCAAGATGACCATTGCCTTGCTAAAAAAGCAGAGGGTAAAGGTGATGGACTGGCCAAGTATGTCTCCAGACCTAAACCCTATTGAGCATCTATGGGGCATCCTCAAATGGAAGGTGGAGGAGCGCAAGGTCTCTAACATCCACCAGCTCCGTGATGTCATCATGGAGGAGTGGAAGAGGACTCCAGTGGCAACCTATGAAGCTCTGGTGAACTCCATGCCCAAAAGGGTTAAGGCAGTGCTGGAAAATAATGGTGACCACACAAAATATTGACACTTTAGGCCCAATTTGGACATTTTCACTTAGGGGTGTACTCACTTTTGTTGCCAGCGGTTTAGGCATTAATGGCTGTGTGTTCAGTTATTTTGAGGGGACAGCAAATTTACACTGTTATACAAGCTGTCATTTTACAAGTGTCATTTCTTCAGTGTTGTCACATGAAAAGATAAAATAAAATATTTACAAAAATGTGAGGGGTGTACTCACTTCCGTGAGATACTGTATATTTGTAAATGCATTCCAAAAATGTAGAGTAAATGTATTTTTAAAGACATACAGTATATTTGAAAATGTATTTTTAAAAATATTCATATATTTAGCAATATATAAAAAAAGCATTTCAACATACAGTGTGTGTGTGTGTATATGTATATATATATATATATATATATATATATATATATACAGGCCTTGAGATTTCCACTCGCCTGCTTGCCAATGGCGAGTGGAATTAATGGTGGGGGCAAGTGTTCCTCAGGGCCATCTTGCTGAGCAGGCTCGGAGCTCAGACCGGATCAGTCATTGGCACTGGGAGCCGGCAGACTGCTCAATAGCTGAGCGCAGTGAAAGCAAAGGAAGTAGTGTGTGCTGTGCTCTCTGCCTCCCCCTAGAGTGCAGTACCCAGCTCTGTGAGTGAACAATGAAGTCCTGCAACTTTTTATAGGGGTGTATGGGTGTGTGTGTGTGTGGGGCCTACCTAATTTCAGCTCACTCTGGTCACATTATCCTCTATGCCAGCCAGAGAGCACTTAACAGCGTGCGTGCGTGCGTGTGTATATGTGTGTGTGTTTGTGTATGCATGTACATGTGTCTGTGTGTATGTACATGTGTGTATCTGAACATGTGTCTGTGTGTATGTACATGTATGTGTGTGTGTACATGTGTCTGTGTGTGCATGTATGTGTGTGTTTTTTTGTGTGTATGTTTGTAAATGTGTCTGTGTATGTACGTACATGTGTCTGTGTGTGTGTGTATTTCTGTGTATGTACATGTATCTGTGTGTATGCGTGTCTGTACGTGCCTGTGTGTGTATACATGTGTCTCTATGTGTGTGTGTGTACATGTGTACATGTTTCTGTGTGTGTGCATGTACATGTCTGTGTGTGTACAGGTGTCTCTGTGTGTATTGTCGGTGGCGAGTAACTCTTAAGGCCTGGCTAGTAGCCCTGTGTGTGTGTATGTATATGTGTATATGTATGTATGTATATATATATATATATATATATATATATATATAGAATACAGCCAAAATAGTAATATTTAAAATATATGTCAATATATTTGGGAAGAATATTTTTCAAATATATTCTTCTTCCGTATGGGATATTTTAGTTAACACAATTTCCCTCTCTTTTTGGCCAGCTTTAGATTTGGAGTAAGAATGTGTCATGTTGTATAATATAAATAAGCACATGCATTTATCCCATATCCATTAATGTCTGAAACTCATTTTAAGAGCCTAACTCTCATAAAGCAGCTGTTTGGTTAGGTAATGGACATTGTGGGAGACACTATTTGACTTTTTCAGGCTGAGAAAAATAGCATTTTGGTCTCTATTTGATTTATTTGTCAATGTTTTCTTTTCCTAGCACATTCATTAATAATAATCGTGATTGTAAGTCATGACCCCTTCGTGTTTTACACGCTACGAGGCCTTTCATGCTTTATTTGTCTAATGGAAAAATGTGGAACATGTTTGATCAGTAAATTTACATTGAGTTTGTGACCAACAGAAATATTTTTATGATGTTTGACAGGCTTGAGTACCATACTGTACAACCAGTGAACAGTTTCCATGTAATCACCTTTTTTTTCTTGCATTACCTGTTTTAGGTGTGTTTGAGTAGCAGATTTGCAAATCAATGCTGCCTATGTCCCCTACTTTTTTCCCTAGTTAGGGCCTAGAAGTATGACATTCTGGAGCCAAAGGAGCTTTTGTGTTTACAGGATTGTGGAAAACCCCTTTAACTTTAGGCTTTCATCATAAAATAAAACAAACTTCTTGACAGGTGTATAAACACACATACTTATATTTCCCAAGTGTGCATGTTTATGCCTTGAGTAGAAACTACTGGCATTAGCGTAATTTCAAGTGAAAAACAGCAATTGACTAAGGTTTATCTAATTTTCCAGTGAGTCATTAGCTTTGAGGGCATAGTGGCATAGTGACTGTCACCCAGTTTATTCATGATCTTTAGGCTTGTGTATGAACAGAATTATTTCATAGAAAAGAGAATTATCATCTTACACATGAACATTTTTTACATAATGCTGGTGAATCTCTAAATAAACTTTCAGGCAATTTCAGATGCTCACAATGGCCCCAAAAGTTTACACATCAAGAGATGCTCAAATCTGCCATATCATTTTTAAAGTTCAAGTCATGTACCTTTATCCTGACAACTACTGTAGACTCCTCTTCAGGACACTCCTTGAATGCCTATTCTAACATTACCAGTAAAGCACTAATTTTACTAGAACGTCTACATGTAGTCATCAGCCTTGAACCTGTTGATCTTTATTCAGCATCAGTCTCTGCTGTACATACCTGTCCTTACTAGCAGACTTTAAAGTGAGATGTAAGCCTTTAACAAATTCATTTTTTTCTCATGTCCTGAATAAAGTTCTCTCTGTCTCACTTCTGTCCAGTTGTCCATACCTTAGATGGTTTTTTGGACTGTGCTACCCAGGACTGTGTTTATTCTGGAACTCTGGACAAAACAGTCCTAGTTCCCCCTGTAACTTATATTATTTGTTAATTCTGCCAGTGGGTGCCCATTTACACTTGCTGCAAAGGCTGCAGACGGGGTTTTACACATGCTATGGCTGCAGTGGCCTGGAAAATGCAAGAATTATCCCCACTGTCACTCCCGGTGGGTAGTTGTGCCCACCGAATGCGACCTATTTACCTGGTTTTTAGGGGTTAAACAGTTGGTGAGGAGGCAACATAACTCCTCCTCACCACCTGTCAAATGCTCTCTGAACCGGGTTGGTGACATTTGTTTCTGCCACTGAGAGACTAGAAGGGAGAGACCAATAGTAATTGGTCAAGAGAGCAGAGTAGATAATAGGCTAAAAACAGTAATTTCAATCAAGGGTATGGTGTGCAAAGTTAAAAGTTCCAGGAGTAGTGTCTCAGTGGTGTGAGGGAAGAGGAGTAGAGAATTGTAGATATATTAAATGCATGTGATTCAGAGGGTTTTTTTTAACTATGTATTGGGATAAGGGAGGGGAGTCTGTTATTTTTAGCTTATCAATATACAAAACATATACAGAGGATAAAGAAGAAAACAAATGCTCTCTTAAGAGTGATAAACTACAGAGGACTAATGCTAGTGTAAACTAACCCTAAGTGTGTTATTTTTCAACTTCCATTAACAGACCAAACTGTCCAGCCAAAGTGGCAGTTGGAGGGTTGAGCCAAACTATTTAACATACAAAATAAAATGGTAATATAGGGAGCGCTCTAAAAGTAGCAGCTGTAATGCTCAAGGTAACCACAGTAATCCTCTGAATAACAGTAAAAATAAAGTGCAGCGCTATTAAATAGTCATTTGAATAAATAAATGAATAAATAAATAAATAAATGAATCATGAGCAAAAGTGATGGGTGAGTAATTAAAAGTTCATTCAATAAAAGAATAAAGTTCAAATGGCACAGGTGGATTATCTCCTCAGCAGCAGATTTCTAAATAAACTTGTGACTGGATCCCGTGGTATAAGTGAGCACTCACCGGAAGCGCATAGGTAATGCGCATATAAATATATAACCATCAAGGATCTCTGAGATGGGCGGATGGTGAGCTTCCTTCTACGTTATGGTCATCAAGCCTTGGGTAGTATGGAAATCTGCTGGGTCCAGAGGTCCCCTTAAGGCAGTGTTTCTCAACTCCAGTCCTCATGGACCCCCAGCAGGTCATGTTTTCAGGATTTCCCTCAGATGAAACAGCTGTGGCAATTACTAAGGCAGTGAAACTGATCAAATCACCTGTGCAAAATAATGGAAATCCTGAAAACATGACCTGTTGGGGGTCCATGAGGACTGGAGTTGAGAAACACTGCCTTAAGGATAGATGGGTGTTCAGCCTGGATACAGGGCTCCCTCCTCTGGATGCTGGATACAGTGGGGATTATCATGTTAGAAATTTGTTCAAAAAAATGTTTCTATACTACTCCACAGAACTTTCTCATCAATGCATGTGTTCACTGCTCTCCGCACTCCGCTCCCGCTTATCCTCCCATCTGCAGGGCAGCAATCAGGACAATCTCTGCCTCCTCTGTATCCGTCCGCTCCGTCTCTTCCCTCCTGGGCAGCTCTCGTTACAGAGATTGTCCTGATTGCTGCCCTGCAGATGGGAGGATGAGCGGGAGCGGAGAGCAGTGAACACATGCATTGATGAGAAAGTTCTGTGGAGTAGTATAGAAACATTTTTTTGAACAATTTTCTAACTTGATAATCCCCACTGTAACCAGCATCCAGAGGAGGGAGCCCTGTATCCAGGTTGAGCACCCATCTATCCTTAAGGGGACCTCTGGACCCAGCAGATTTCCATACTACCCATGACCATAACGTAGAAGGAAGCTCACCATCCGCCCATCTCAGAGATCCTTGATGGTTATATATTTATATGCGCATTACCTATGCGCTTCCGGTGAGTGCTCACTTTTACCACGGGATCCAGTCACAAGTTTATTTAAAAATCTGCTGCTGAGGAGATTATCCACCTGTGCCATTTGAACTTTATTCTTTTATTGAATTAACTTTTTATTACTCACCCATCACTTATGCTCATGATTCATTTATTTATTTATTCATTTATTTATTCATATGACTATTTAATAAAATAGTGCTGCACTTTATTTTTACTAAAACTATTTAACATGAACAGAAGTGCTTACAATGGTTAGCTTTTAATCATTTAGATAAAACCTTGATTCCCACAAAAATCAGTTTCTGTGACTGCTTAAAAAGTATTAGCTATAGTTAGGGTTTAGTTTGTTAGTCACTTTTGTAAAGTTCATCTAAATCTACTCATCCACCTAAGATCACCCTCCCCACAGGTTGACAATACTTCTTTCCAAGGGTGGCTACCCTGCTCCACCATAGGTACAGTGGAAGAGTGAGCGTAGTCAGCCCAAGAAAGGAAGTGTGTCACTTTGTTGGATCATCAGGTGAACAAAAAAGGAAACAAGCTACAAAAAGAACACTTTTGTAGCCACTAGATCTAAGGATTGGTAAGCTACCATATATATTAAAAAAAAATCTGTTCTGGATTTAGAAATTCTTCAAGCTTGAAACAATAATTGAGCGTGAAGTTATTTTAATTAAATCACAGCAACTATATCTGGTCTTTCAGGTTATCGTAGTTGCATGTTTCATTTAGATTGCATAGAACATTTACTGTTTTGGAACCGTGCCACAATTAAATTCTTAACGACAAGGAAATGTACTGCTGTCTCGACTAGCAGAAGACAGACTAATCTTGTCCTAGGTGAGAACACTATGGTGGCCTTGTAATATTGGCTGAACCTAATCCATCCTGTTTAGAGTTACAGCCTAACTATCCGAGCAAGTCCCAGCTGACACAGACATCCAACCACCAATAACCTGGTTTTGATTGGGACCTGTGATTAAGGGATAAATCACACAGGACCTTGGAGCTGCATGGTTAAGTAATTGTTTAGAATTTCACAAAAATGACTGGCAGATTTAGGACACTGTTCTATATAACACCTCTTAATAGTTTCTCATTGAGAAAAAAAAAAACGTATTGTGTGGGATAAGGAAACCACCCTGAGTTGTGGTTGAAGGTAAACCACACACACACATTCATGCAACTGGCGGTTACATGAATAATATATTATGTTAGTGACAAGATATTGGCCCGTTGTTTTGGCACCTTAAAATATGGAATTTCAACATTCCTATACATACTCTACCATAATAGCAGATTTGCAATTGTTCAT